CGCCCGGGGAGCAGTTGGGGGTTCGGTGCCTTGCTCAAGGGTCTCACCTCAGGCGTGGTATTGAGGGTCGAAGAGAGCGCTGTACATTCATTCCCCCCACTGACAATTCCTGCCGGATCTGAGACTCAAACCCGCAACCTTCGGGTTACAAGTTCGACTCTCTAACCATTAGGCCACGACTGCCCCCAATGGACTTCAAAGGTGGCCAACGGGCTGAAGGTCCAAATTGCAGTTTAATTCCTACTAGGGTTGGGCGATGTCTACCAAATTGGCATCGGAACGATGTCTACAGTGAAACATCGTGATGGACTATGACATCGGGGGGCGGGGCGGGGTTTAGGGGTGTGCCCGAAGCGTGAAACAAATAACACGTTATACGGAGCCACTAAAACGTTAGCCGCTTGCTAGCGGTAGCCTGTTGCATTACAGTACATGAAAGTTCACTTACCACAGAGTAAGGAGAAATGTCTGATAGGACGATGGCGAATGATTTGCAGATCCTGAGCACCAATGAGAAACATCTAATCTTGTCAAATGTGTGGTAAGTACTGCCGCTTCGCGTCTGTCAGCCATCGGCGATGGACGATGGCATCGTCTATCGGCCCAACCCTAATTCCTACTTCAAAGGGCTCTACACAATCCCAGCCGATGAATAACGATCCTATCTAGCGAAACGGTCATTTTCTTAAAAAAAGAAAAAAAAAAGTATACACTTTTTAACCACAAATGCTCGTCTTGCACTAGCTCGACTTCACGCATTACGCAGTCACGTTTGAAAGGTCACGTGTGACGTAGGCAGAAGTACCTGACCCAGTGTTTACAAAGTGAACATGCAAAGAAAGTCAAATGCCCTTTACAAAAAAAGGTAAAACAACAATGTCGGACGATTTTGAAGTTGGAGGAGAAAATGAGATTAGTGTTTTGACAATAAAAGTAGCTGAAAAAGCCCAAAAATAGCATAATAAAAATTGAGTTTGAGTGCACACGTAAAATTCTGTCAAAAGACTCTCACTAAGAGTGTCCATTTTTGAAAGGCAGGACAGGTTGCTTCATGCGATTGTTAGCCCTGAAATGTCTGGCAGCTCTGTTGGCCGGGATCATTGTGCCAACGTAACGGTGCTATGCAACACACCCCTCCAAATGAGAGGTCACAGCATCATGCAGATGTTCGGGAACACAGCCCCTCCCATCAAATCTGTCTGGAGGGCACCATTAGGGAGATGCAGTCACAGTAGCCAGTATAGTCTGTTAAATGCGTACAGAGGAGCATGCGTCACCCCGCGGTATGACAGCAACAGAGCTGTACTGGATGTCAGACGCATCCGTCTTTAAAATTCCATTTCACATCCTATTGCTGCGTCATAATCCGCTTTTATGGCCAGTCTGCCTGATGCATTAAAGATTTTGGCCATCTCTTTGCCGTTTCTCAGAGCTGTCAGCCTCTGTGGTCAGCATTTTGCTTAAATTGCACTGAGAATTTGGTGTAGTAGAATGCTAACCAGAGGAATGGCTGCAAGGAGACCATATATCTGTTTATATTTAATTAGGAGGCCCTGAAGCACGGCCGTAGAGACTGAGGCCAGGAGAGAGGAACGGGGCAGCATATGCGGGTGCCATATGCTGAAGAGCCTGCAAAGTCTAGACTGGGTTCAGGGATTAACAAGCTGCCAGTACAGTTGAATTAAATGGCTCAGTGGGGTTCTGAACACAAACAATAAAGTGGCATATTAGGGGCAGTAACTGTCTCTTCTAGTTATGAGAGTAAGTAGATTGCATATTGCTTGATCTTCATTGGTTCCCACACAGTTTTTATCTAGGAGCAGTTTTTTTGAGGCCTTTATTTTTTTTCTTTGGCGGTGAAAGAAGGCAGTAGTAGCTATTCTAAAGGCCCTGATATACTCACAGCAAAGTTCTTTTTTTGTTATTCGCTTAGGGATAAAAAGAAGTTTGAAATACCCGAGCAGCGATATGCTGTTTGCAAACTTTCTGAACATCCAGCTTTACAGTATTAACCATTAAAAAATAATGCCAGTGTCACTTTCAATTAGTATTACAACTTCAGTTTCTACTATAAATGAGCTTTCCAGTGTGTTCATGTTTTTATTGCGTCTGACCTTCACAGACTAAACAGAAGAAATGAACCAAAAAAATGACCATGTCAAAGAAGGTGGAGCCACAGTGCAGTTTGGAGAACTCCAAACGAAATTAGTTTTGGCCTTATTTTGTTCACAATGATGTCACACCAGTTCTTCAATTTCACTGTGTGTATTGGGGGCATAGTAGATTGCTTGATCTTCACTGGTTCCCACATAATTTTATCTAGGACCTGTTGTTTGAAGGCATTTATTTGTTTTATACTGCTTTCAATACCAAGATGATATATCTTCTGGGGTTCTGATTCTTTAACAGTGAGTGGGACAAAACATCAGTAGCATGATGGGTCAGTCCCAAGGGCCTTTTTTTCTTTGGCGGTGGTAGAAGGCAATAGAAGATGTTAGGCTCTACTAAGTCACTTTGAAAGGAAAAAGATGAAACACTGCCACAGGCAAAGCTGTAAAGAGTCTCCAGTCGAGATTGGCTCTCTCTCCCCATCCCTTTCCCTCTCACTCCCTCGGTTTACCATTCTCTTTCTCGGTGTGGGTGGTGAGCGAGCAAAAGTTCTCAGCTGAATAGCGATTTGTTCTTTCCAGTCTAAAGCGAAAACAACACCCTCATCCCTCTCTTGCTGCTTTTATCTCTCCACATTGTCATCCTTTCAGCAGACCTGTGCACCCGTGCCCTATGAAAAATGTGTTGGGTGATTCAGAATCGTTGTCTCATTCCTGTTTGAGCCTTGCATTTGTTACTGCATTCTTCTCAGATAATAGACCAGATGCCAGATAATCCGAAAGATCAAGATGCAGGAACTTAAAAGACAGGCCGAATGACAAGATCTTCAATTGTTGTTACATGTAATGAGTAACTCCTCTGTCATTTGCTTCATTATCCAGAAATGCATTACTCAGAAATGACTGACAATCTTTTCTGCAGTTATGTTCTAGGGCAACACTCTAGTTGTTCTGTCTGTATCCTTGTGAAACTGGAAGTGGGAAATATTCGCCTCTAACTATGTGGCAGTTTGAGCAGTAATGGGAAACTCTTTTTTAGCCTATCCTCCTCATATAGACTAACCTAGTTCTCAGAGGACATTTGACACTGGAGGAAGTGTCAGGTGTTACAGCGTTTCTGATTAAAAGAGTTGTGTTAGATTGTTTA